AATTCACATGTTTACACTTTCATATATGTGGCCACGATCAGTTGATGGAAAATATCTTCATCCTGTGCATATTGTTTTACAAAAACCTGGATCTGTAATGGATGTTTAAAATATAACAGAAATCCTCCAGATTCTTGAACAGGCCTGGAATGACCCTTACATTGGAATCAAAATGTCCATTTTTTTGTCACTTGGTGGAAATGACTTTCTCCCAAAATTTTATGGGATATCACATTCAACTATCTTACAGACTATTATGAAAAACCAAAATTTGCGAGAAAACTTAGTCAAAGTACAGCCCAACAACAGTAAAATTGAAGTTGAATTTGACTCTAATTTGTATGTAGAGTTAATGAAGATTTTGTACTGTCCCAAGGCTTATAACTACTCTGAACTATCGTTTGAGGAAGTAAGGCAAATTACTATTAAAGTTCCAACCATTAAAGACAACAACCATAATAGGAATCCAAAATTGTGGCTACCAGCATCTTCTGTGATAACAAGGTTGTCTTTAAATGTGATCTGCTATATTAAATATTTAATGACCGCAGGAACTGCTGATACTAGACTTCCTAATTTTTTAGCTGACGGTTGTCTTAAAAAAATCAGTTTCTGGTGAAATTGAATTCGATTTTGGAGAAGCTCATGTTGAAGATATAAATAGTATGATATTAGTTCCATCAAACGTTTTGTTGGAAAAGAATTTAGCCAAACAAACAAGAAAGAATAAAGCATCAAAACGGAAGCAGAATGAAACACCACAGAAAGGAAGACGCAAAAAGTTCAAAACAGGACATCAACTCCCAAAAAGAATTGAGACATTAAACGATGCATTACAAGAGTGTTTCCTTTAAATAATGACAAATGTTATACTCATTGCTCATGCTGATTTTGCTTCATTTGTACTTTTTGAAAAACTTGTAAATTGTATTTTTGTTACTTTTATATATACATATATACATATACTGAAATCTTTACACTTTGATTCAAATAATGGGAGGTAGTTCTCATTGTTAATTAAGAAAAAAGGGATAAGTATCTGCTGCTTCTCCGCTAAGCACAAAGAATTTACCATTTACTGCAAAAACTGGTCAGCTAGGAATAAGAATATTGTTTCTAATATGAACAATTGCATTTGTCCTGATTTATCAAAGGAAGGGGATTCTGTTATAGCCTTAGTGTACTTTTTTAAATGAATTACAGGTAATTGTGAATCCTTGTATTCATATGGATATTTTAATCATTTGTACAATTTAAATGAAATTTTTTTTTAATTTTTCATCCCCCCTTTTTTTTGTTTTACAGTAGTTTAATACTAAATAACTGAAAAGATAAACCTTGAAAATGCAAATGTCATACAGACATGTATGTTCAATTATAAAAACTGTATTTTGCTGTTAAACTTTGCATATTAATTATACAAATTATTATGCAGTTATTCTTTGTTGATTTTTTTCATCTCTTAAAGATAAAGAGTCATGAAAAACAATACCATTCAGTCATGTGTACACACTATAATCAAAAAGGATGCAGAAATTATCACTCTAGCACCTGTGTTATGTTAATTTTACTGATAACATTACAAATGTGATAAATGTCATTACTAAATGAATGCTGACAGCCACTTGAGTTTTATGTTGTTTTTATCTCAACAGTAGTTGTATACAAATTTTCAATTTGAGGGCTGTGTGTAGCACTGTTTATGAGTTATAGTCAGAAAACTGAAAAAAAAATGTTTATGAATAAAATTCCATAACTCGGAAACGTAAAATCTAAAATTGATAAAAATTGAAAGGGCGCTTACGGCGATAGATATAAACAATTCAGCAAGTCAAGTAAACGGGCGTATACAAAGCAAACATTTATAAATGTTTCATTGTTCATTGTTGTTATTTGAAAAAAAACATAATTACGTTAAAAGTAACAAAAACGTTGACTACTGCTTTAAAATTGGTGATATTTTCATGTCAATATCTATTAAACTGTGCTTTTTAAAAAATATGATCAAGGAAAAACATGGTCGAACAAAGTCAGTAAATATAAACAGACTCCAAACTGTTTCAAAACTTAATTTACAATATGGCTGTTTATAATTGAGACTGTTTATAAAAAAGAAATAAAGTCATTAGTTGTGGACATGATAAACATGTGCGATTTGAATTGACAAGACATATATCCTTTATGAGGAAACCACAAAAATAGTAAATGTACGTACTATATTACAAATTATGATTATTAATACAACATTATGTCGTGTACATCGATTTAATGCAGAGTTGAAAAACAAAAACACAAGCAAACTTTGAAATAAGCAATCTCTTTGTAAACGTATTAATAAAATGAAACCATTCTGCGTACGTCATTTGTAAACACTGGACTTTAAAGCGTCTTGATCTAAATTTATTTTGGTTACCATTACCTTTTTGATACCTAAGTAATTACTTTCCTTAATATATATACAGTTGTCTGACACAAAGGTATTATAAAGTAAGAAAGGAATAAATTTTGATATCAATAAGACGATAAAATGCAAAAAATACTATCTATTTTATGCTCTGAAGCGCTTTTTTTTAATTTACCTTCACCAGGAACGCTCAAAGCCAAAAATCTGAAAGCTGGATGGATAAATACGGAACCACACTAATCTAATGAAGAGCTATACAACCAAATTGACCAACACATAATAGACAAATCTGTCTAAGATTAAAATTGTCTGAAGGAGTTGGAACTTGAGCTTCAAAAAGGAATAATTTGATAAAGAGGGCTAACATATAAATTAAGATCTAACCTCTCTGTAGAATTGTAAATACAATTAGAATTAGCTGTGTTCTAAATGTTGTAAAACAAGTGTACTCTAATGCTGTTTTTAATAAAACTATCAGAAGCTGCTCAAGATTATCTATTTTCGACTTTGGGCGTTCCTGTTGCTGGTGAGTCTTGATGTGCGATCGGACGCAGGAGGTTTTCACAGTGTTGTTTCCATTTTATTTAACCTTGTATTTATATTTTACTTAGTATGTTATTTGCGGTATGCTATATCAACTACAAAAACTGTTTTATCAGCGTCTTTGTCAATGTACTATCAGTAAGGTTTATTTGTATGTTTGTTTGAATTGTTTAGTCAGTTGTGTTGCATATCTTTTATATAATTATGTTTACAACGTTTTGACTGCTGGATCACTATTATTGTCACATCAACCTATAATGTTTGTTTATATTTCTCACCTAATTTTGTGAATATAACTGAACTATAATCAACTGTCATACAAGTAAGTGGTTTAGCGAGCTATACAACCAGGGTTTACCTAACATTTTCCTTGGGCAATGCCTGTACGTGTACCTAATCAGAAATATGTCAGTTGCTTTTAACTCGTCTTATTGGTTGATAACGCTTGATTTTGTCAGTTTTATGGACTTCTCAATTTTGAATATACCTAGGTATTTTGTCACATCTTTTTCTATAACATTTTAACGATTAAATTGTCCTAGGGTTGAATATTCTGAGCCATGGAAATCGCATTGAATTTCGTCGTTTTCGTAACATTTCAAATATTTTATTTAAAACATTTTTCGAGGAATATAATTGAAAAGGCAAAACTATATTTTGAAGTGTTGATGTGGCGATAAAATCAAAGATACGTCACTGGTATTCCTTGAAGGATGTACTCAGGTCAGGTTTATGAATGTTTGTCAGATGTTCGGACTTGGGGGTTGATGTGGCGATAAAACCAAAGATACGTCACTGGTATTCCTTGAAGGATGTACTCAGGGCAGGTTTATGAATGTTTGTCAGATGTTCGGTCTTGGGGGTTGATGTGGTGATAAAACCAAAGATACGTCACTGGTATTCCTTGAAGGATGTACTCAGGGCAGGTTTATGAATGTTTGTCAAATGTTCGGACTTGGGTTTTTTTTCCTACGCTACAGTGTAAAACATTTTGCCTCATATCACCCCATTTTCTTTTCATAGAAAACTTCAATGGCTCAAAAAAAGGACAACACAAAATTTTATGCAGTCTAGCCTTTTTTCTTACGATTTGAGACCCAAATAATGCCAATGCTAAATATAAGGTAAAAGTCTGAGTTAGTCTTTTCCCGCCATCTTGAAGAAATCAAATATCGCAAAAAGGAGTTCCATAACCTATCAATATTTTTAGTTTATTTTGTTCCTTTATTAATGATCTTCTGACTTATAATACATTGTATCAACTCAAAATTCTAGATTTGTTAAATTTCACCTAACTTCATCCTTAATAGTACAAGAAATAATTTTTTCAATGCAAATACAAATTGTGTTAAACATAGGAAATGTAAATGAGAAAAAATAATCATTGAGATGTTATAGTAATGTATAACTTTATGAATTAAAATCATTACAAAAAAAAAAACAAAAAAAAAACCGCAAAATTAGGATCAAAGAAACAAGATATATATAATAAGCACTATAAACATCGTAGATTTATTCTTTGGCAATAGTTAGTTAATTTCGAAGTTAGTGTAAACACTCTGGTAGTTTGCCTATTTGCCGATTGTGGGAATCGACAGACCAAAGCTGCTGGTATCCAAGTCATATTGTCTATTTGATAATTTGTCTTTGGCAATCATATAATATCTGATAAACACTTGAAAACATCAAAATGAGCATCCTTCTTGCATTAAGCAATGCCCTTTATGAAAAAAAATCATCATCATCACTGTATCAAAGTTCATTTCTTCATGAACATGTTCAAGAAAAAAGTATAACAAGAATATCAAACTCCAAAACATGAGTATTGAAACTTTTTTTTTATTATGTCGATCGATTATTTGAATAACTTGTATCGTATAGTTAATCAACATTTGTATATATATATCTTTTTGTGTCATTCTGTTTTGTTTTTGACGGTGTAAAATGTTAATGCCATCATTGTGAAAGCTGACAAATGGCATGCGCATAACAACGACAAATATATGTTATAGCGGTTTACATGATTAGGAAATCATTTCGTCCATGTGTGAATACGATAATTTGAAAAGCTTTTGCCAGAAGAATATACGACATAGAAAAACAATAGTTTATCGTATGTTTATTAAAGCAAGCCTTTTGATAATCATTCATTGGCTATTTCAATGTTTGAGGAAATCGGAATAGTGTATAGATCACCTTTTTTATCGTATCAACTAGTTTAGATTTGCTGGATATTTATTTTTCGATTGAGCAAAAATCATACAGTACTATCCTGCGGAATCATGGTTGATCATTATGGTCTAATACTCTTACTCTTAGCTTTGCAGATAGTTTTCAATGAGGGATTTACCATCACGAAAGAAAAAGTTGACTGTCATGGAAATCCCGACAATTGCGGTGAGCCCTGTCCTACTGACACGGAGTTTAAAGAGTACAGATGTAAGTTTATTTGTAAGCTTATCCGGATAATGAATGAATCAGTAAATATACAGTTGTATGTACATGTATATATCATCAGCAATTATCAATTGTTACTTTATATGTTAATCGGTAAATGTAATGTATTCAATATATACTTCATATCTCAATACAATAAATTTTGCTCACACCAAAGATGTATTTACGTTTTTGTTGACATGAATAATCATTGATATGGTTATATTATCTTATAATATAAACTGTTAGAAAACATTGAATTGTTCAAAAATAATAAGGATTTTGTTCCCAATGGATTAATTAGATTAGCAATAGTTTATCGTATGTTTATTAAAGCAAGCCGTTCGATAAACATTCATTGGCTATTTCAATGTTTGCGGAAATCGGAATACTAAGGATGTTGTACTCCTGGAAATGATTAGATTAACTGTATTTGACTACACCGTTTGGAATATTCGGTTCACAATGCTAATCAACTTCGTACTTTGATTGTCATTTTACTTTTTTTTTATTTGACAGTCAATGATGCGTTTTTTGTAGACGAAACGCTAGCTTTGTCTTTAATGAGGTTTTCTATTTATCATATTGTGAAAGATTTCATTTAACTTAGGAAATCAATTATAAAATCTAAACATTAAGCATATAATCATTATTTGGGGTAAAACAGTAGTAAGTGTTTCAAATAAAAATAAAAATAAAAAGACGTGGTATGATTGCCAATGAGACAATTTACCACCAAAGTTCAAATGAAGTGGTTGAAAGCAATCATAGTCAACCGTGAGGCCTTCAATAATCAGAAAAACACATACCGTATGGTCGGCTAACAAGTCAATATGTTATAACAGTTAATTTACAAAACAGGAACATATCAATGCAATATCATTTTAACACAAAACATGCAAAACAGCTGACTACTAGGTTGATGGTATCCTCGGGGGGATATACTCTCACTAAAGAAACCCGGCTTATAAACTGGCTCACTAGACGCGCGTCAGAACATTTGGATGACGACTTACCGCATAATATACATTTACATTATTTTTTACTACGATTATCACCCTTTTTAAGATACGTAGACAAAATTGTAGATTTATGAAAAGGCAACTTTCAATCGAAAGCCCAATTATTACTCTTATCATATATTCTTCTAGTTAAGCATGGCTTGAGTTTGGAATGGTGATTTATTTTAGATATATATTTAGTTTTAATTTTTGTATACATTATGAAAATATTGAAGTTGTTTACAACTCTCTTAACGTACCACATACAATACATTGTCACACGGTTATTTACATGAAAAATCGAGTCGTACGTAAATATAATGCAAATCGTATTTTGGTAAAAGAATGTACTGCATATTCGTAAGCGGATAACATTCATTTGTATAGTGGTAATTGATGCTATACCAACTAAGTAGAAGACCGATGGAATTGTACGTTCAGTTTGATAATCATCAGTTCAATTTACGCATCAGTACCCTCTGAAATAAAATGTGTTAAATAGGTATAATTTTCAACTAAACCAATTCGGATATCAGATATCTCCACTTTTCTGTGGATAGATCTATTAGTTTTGTTCTGATTATTATTTTTTTTCCTTTTTCCGCCACATTTTTTTCTTATGGTGTTTAGTGGTTTCGCAAGATGTCGCTTATTTTTTTTATATCGAACAGTTTTTTTCGCTTTTGAAACTGACCCTGTTTAACCGAACACTTTTTTATTGTAAGAGTTATCTCCCCAAACACTGTTTTTCATGTGTGCGCATCTCCTTGGCAACCGTAGAAGATTACGACGAAATTATTTCACCAAATTGCTCGTTATATCCTCAGGATCTGAATAATGTTGACCGAAGCCATCCGGAGACTCCATAAGACAGTTATTTCCCCATATGCATTTGATATAAGTAATATGCATTTGCACATGGTAAACCATAAGTGATAGAAACCTCGTGTCTTTTGATTTGAGTTGATTGGTCCAAAATAAAGAAAAATAGGTCAAGTTCAAAGGTTAAGGTCATGTTCTAATTTTTTTTTACATTGAATTCATATCGATTCTTCCCAGAAAGAGTTATAGATATCGACAGAACAATTTAACCAAAATGTTTGCCGCGATATGTCCTTATTGGAAATTTTTTGTCAAAATGGTACGCGTCATTTTTATGAAGGGCCAATGCCCCTGTTATGGTCAAATCAACAGATTACTTATCAAAACTTCAAACTTTGCAGCTATCCTGTGTAAATGTTTTTGTCTCAATTATCAACCAAAGTCTACCACTACACTTTTTCTCTCCCCCCTTTTTTCCATGTGATTTTTGCTTTAGTTATCCTATTTCTTTGATCGCTTTTAGTCCTGTGCATTTTACTGTACAATGATAATCCTTCTTATGTACAAACTTCTTTCTGAAATAGAAATTCAAAAATCTGCTCCAATTCATCATGTTCATGTATTTTCTGAAATTAATCGATTAACATTTTGTTAAAATACTATAACAACAGCATTATTTTTGTGTGCATGCAATGAATGTAGACTCGTGATCAGCGATTAGACAATAGTTTATCTGTAACAGGAAGCAATAAAATATATTCCCGTTAGACACGTACGGTCTGCTTATTTGAGAAATTAAAATCACTTAGGTTGTAATCGCTCCCAAGTTCGTAAAAATTACTGAAATCCTACATTCGAATTTCTAAACATGTATTCAAATACAAATATGTGCTCCTATACACATGTGTACGTTAAATGCATGCATGATCCGACATCAATGACATGTAAAAAATAAAGCCAATAGTGATCGTGTTTCTCCGATCAATACACATATGCTCTGTTCAACGGTATCCCCTGAAACTCCAGACATATATATATATATTTGAGCGTCACGTGACTTCACAACTTCGCGCGCGGACCTAAAATTAGAATATAACATTTCATATTCAATTATAGAAAGCGAAACTTCCAAGACAAAATGCTACTCAGTTTTTCTGTACAAGTTCAAACAAAATGCGCACACAACAAAACAAAAAAAAAACAAAAAACAAAAAAATCGTGCAAGTTCCCCTAGAAAATAGTCAAAATTAACAAAAGGAAGATATTAGGATTTTTATTCATTTGGAAATCCAGGCCGTCCGTTTGGCTGCCCGGGATAAACAATTACGCAGCCACGTTTTGTCAGAATATGGACGTTAAGTTCGATGCCTCGCATAGAGAGAGTGCCTTGCAAACTTTCAATCAATCAACCAACCAACCAACCAACCACCAACTAACCAACCTACCAACCAATCAATCAATCTGTTTAATACAGGGTCCAAGATCTCATTTGTTTTTTTTCGCTTGTTCTAAGAGACCATATCCTATGTGTTTAATAAGTATATCAGTCAACTAACCAACCAACCAACCAACCAACAAACCAATCAATCAATCAATCAATCAATCAGTCTATGTTTCGGAGAGGAAAGACCTATAACAATTGTTTTTAAAACAATGGATTTATATTTCTCTTTGAATGTCACATTTCGTGGAATTCCACTATTTTTTTTTATGTATTGCGCATCGAAATTTCACAGTAAAATTGACAGTTAACATTTGTTACTAACGTATTTTTGGCACCAAGGTCTATGGAACTGCAAAAAAGGAAAATAATTTTAAAGGACCATTTACATTCAAGTAATAGTAGATATGTAAATCATATACAATTATTAAAGCATGATGTTAGTTTATATGAAATATAATAATCCACAAAATATGAAATGCATTGATGTTTGGGGATGATATTTATCTTTTTTATAATGACAAATATTTTTTTATTTTAATTAATAAAAACAAATATCGATTTCAGCGAAACAACATAGGACTCAAGCAACAGTTCATCAAATCATCCAAAAAATTACGCCAAAAAAATTGAAACCAAATTGTTCGTCTCCTCATGGGATTGTAAAAAGGTCAAATTCGATTGGTCTATTCAGAGACTTGCTGATAATCCTTGATTCGTCCGGTAGTCTTGGACCCGGGAACTTTGAAATTATAAAACAGTATATAGTTGAACGTTTAAGTCTTTTTTGTCCTCTACCAGATGCTTTCAGTTCAAACAGTCGTGTTGGTTATAACCGAGCAGCACTTATTCAGTTTTCTAGTATTGTGAAGGAAGAATTTGACTTTGATGATAATAGAAATATATTAGAGATCAAGGCAGCAATAAAGTCAGTACCATATCTAGGTGGAATGACTTGTACAGGAGATGCCTTCTACAAGGCTGTACAGATGTTTAATTCATCGAAAGGTATAAGATTTATTATTCAACCAATTAAAAGGGGAAGATACCAATAGTACATTACCGGTCATCAGTCAAAGAATGAAAGATAGCTCTGTAGCAATTAGATAAAGAGTATGCACACAAAACTAAGAACACTTTTAAAAAAATGTCTTTTTTTAAAAGTAAAATCACAAAAATACTGAGCTCCGAGGAAAATTCAAAACGGACAGTCTCTAATCAAACGGCAAAATCAAATGATAAAACACATCAAACAAATGGACAACAACTGTCATATTCCTGACTTGCCCACGAGGGTTTTACCAGCCCAGTAGTCAGCACTTCGGTGTTGTCATGAATATCAATTATATGGTCATTTTAATACATTTCCTGTTAAAAACTTTGAATTTTTCGAAAAACTAAGGATTTTCTTATCGCAGGAATAGATTACCTTAGCCGTATTTGGCACAACTTTTTTGAATGTTGGGTCCTCAATGCTCTTCAACTTTGTACTTGTTTGGCTTTATAACTATTTTGATCTGAGCGTCACTGATGAGTCTTATGTAGACGAAACGCGCGTCTGGCGTATTAAATTATAATCCTGGTACCTTTGATAACTATTAGTACATGCATTTTCAAATGTGGAAAATGGTGGATTGAACCTGGTTTTATAGCGCTAAACCTCTCACTTGTACGACAGTCGCATCAATTTCCATTATATTGACAATAATTTACCTTTTCATTATTTTTCCCTTATTTGACAGGTGTGTGTGGGTCTTCGCATGCGCGTGCACGTGAGTGTGTGTTTAAAGAGTAATTATCATTGATGATGGACGTGTCAAACATGTTACTTTGGTTTTTTTTTCCAATAGTGTTTATAATGCATGTGTTCTTTTTATGCAAATGGTTTTTTTTTTTCGTTTTTCTAGAAACAAAGAACGGTAATAAAATACTGTTCATTGATCTTTTCAGGCATGCGTGAAGGTACCAAACATGAAGTTTTTATTCTAACTGATGGAACAGCTAACTGTGGGAAACCTCTGTCTACAGTATTGCCAGCTTTACATGCTAAAGCAACTGTATTTGCATTAATAATTGGAAGCTTTTCGGCAAGTGGCAAGGAAGAACTGTCATCGTATGTCAGTAAACCTACAACTGATCACCTTTTTGCAGTCGACAACTTTCAACATCTACAAAAACTTTGGAATTACACTAAATCTCAGATAGGTCCACATCATCCGTGTATTTCATTTGTTCTATAGAAAATAATAATAGCATACAATAGTTAACCACCACGGCTATTATATGTCAACCAAGATGGCCCTAGATCATATTTGGTATCCCTATTTCATCGTTATAACGCTTTGTAATATATAATATGCAACAAAAGTTTCTGTAAATTGTTTTGTTTGTGTTTTTTTCTGTACAAGTCAATAATATATTTCACATGAAGACACAGCTTCTAAATTAAGCCAATGCACATCCATACTAGCATTGACATAATACCGTTTTCAATCAAAGTTCGTTAGAGTTATTTGAATCTTTAAAAAAAAACTGATTAAGATTTTTCAACTATGTTTCTTTATTGAAGTATCAAAATGCTTAACGTTTTATGCAGTATACACACTTGGACAATTAATTTTAGAAAATATAATTGTGACTTTCCTGAACGTCCTCATGGATGATATAAACTATGTTATTATACATGTTATACTTATATTTTTTTAACGACTGATAATTGGATATCGCTTGATTCAAATCTCAATGTTTGGCGATCAGATGTGTTGTTTGTTTTTCGTCACTTTCTTTACGTTAAAATAATTCCTAGACCTTATAAAACAATTTATTATTTGTGTATGATTTGTATCTAGAAGTTAATTTACTACATACATCATGTTCTTGGTGTTTATATTCAGTACAACGTTTTTTTAAATGCAAACAAGATTTTGTCTATGTGTTTTCGCTAAAGATCTGTGAGTTTATTTTAATGTCATAATACTTACATAAATCTTTTTGAAGAACCATGAAATGAAGGAGGAACCCCTTCGCATCTTTGTTAGAAAACTTAATTTTATTTTATGTTAGAGAAATTGCATTAAGCTTTTTAATAATACAGCTAAATACAATTTATCTATTAAAGAAAAAAAGAAAAGAATATTCACAACTACTTTAATTTATCCTGCAATAAAAAGAAAAGAAATGATATGTTTGTTATAACTTTAGCATTCCCTTTTTATATCATATATTACACAATAAATTTATATAATAAAACTAAGTTTTTAGCTTACTGAAACTACTGTCAAAACTCTTACGGCTAAAATTTTGGCTGCCAAAGAATCAATTCAATTTATTCAGCTAATGTTTTAGACGTTTTATCAGTTTGAAAAAGCTCTTATATTAAAAGTAATATGATATAAAATGCTAAAGCTTTAGTTTAATCTTTTTTTTTGAATTACAATTAATCTATTTGTATATTTGATCAAGTAATTCCATTTCCAACTCATTTATACTTCTTATAATGTTTTTTTATACCACTTTATCCGGTTACTGAAGTTACTTAGTTAATGATGAAAATCGTTTAAAGGATTGAAAAAACACATACTCCCTATATTTGTTCTGATTAATTTCCAAATCGGAATTTCCTTAAGGATTTATTAAAGCATACAGGCGGCATAATAGGATGATCCCTGTTCTTTCCCGTCTTGCAGTGAAACATACATGTAGTGGGTTTTTTGTTTGCCTGTATGTATAAAAAATCAGTCACATCTAATGAATCATGTATAGATTGAGTGTCACGCTATCCGAGGGGTCACTAGTTTGTTTTTTTCAAAGCACCCTATTGGAACATAGTCAACATACCCATATTTTCGAATGGCAGTCGAAATTTTGTGCTATTCAAACTATCAATTGTAATGATAATCCATAAAAGATTTGCCACTGATTCAATCACTAAAAAAAAAGGACAGACCTACATGTTCATTTATTATGTATATATTCTTGGAATCGAAAACGTATAGATTATACAATAATTAATAAGGCGTCTGCTTTTGTGTGTATACATATATAAATGTATTATATACGTTAGAACTTTTACTTTACAACTCAACTATGGATTATACGGAGTGCATTGCCTGGCATCCATTCGTCTCCGGAGGTAAAAAAAAAAAACCCACATGCAGCATATTCCTGACGAGAGTACAATGGGCTCTAATATTGTCAACAGACCCTTCAACAATTACTCGGCCTGTGGCGGCTGTGTGATACACTGCTTATAACTTCTCATCAGACATTGTGACGTCACTGATAATGCCTGCTATCGTCCCAAAGCCGTGATACGAGAATTACAAAGTGACTGAGCAGGGTGATATAGGCGAAGGGAAGGACGATAATAGTATATACTTTTCCGACCAATTGATTATTTTTTTTTATTATCAATGTGTGGTTTGTTTCATCTCAGTTCCTCATTGGTGAAAATTTGATTAAAACGTCAAATATTCTTGTTGTATTCTGGAAATCATAGTGGAAAGTCATGAAAAATGACGAACATGCCTGATGACGTCTCGTATAAAGAACGCATCTTTTGGCAGATCAATAAAGACATTTGTCTGTATATCGGCTAAAAATCATCAGAGAAACATCTTCCACCACCGAATCTCATGCAACACTATAGTTCTCCACTCTCGACTGTTAAATTTTGAATATCTAAATAGCTCGACAAGCCTCGCATTTTTAAATATGAAAATGTAACTTGACTCGAGTGAAGAAATATCGTATCACACTGTATACAATGGTAGAACCTATTCAATAGAATGTTGAGTAGATTAAGACTAAAATTTAACAACAGCTGAATCATTGATCAGAATGAACATGAAAACGATCTGATGAGTTAGCCCCTTTCAACTGATTTTTACAGTTTGTTCTTATATTGTACTGTTACACAACTGTCTCAGGTTAGGGGATCATTAACGCCTTCAAACAAGTTTAACCCGCCATATTCTGTGTTTGCCTGTCCTATGTCAGGAGCCTGTAATTCAGTGGTAGTCCTTCGTTGCTGTTTATCATATTTGTTTTTCGTTCATTATCTTGTACATATATCAGGCCGTTAGTTTTTTTCGTTTGAATTGTTTTACGTTTGCCATTTCGGGGCTTTTTATCATGTTTATAGCTAACTATGAAGTATAGGTTTTGCTCATTACTGAAGGCCGCACGGTGACCTATAGTTGTTAACTTCTATGTGACTTGGTTTCTAGACTTCCGAGTTCGTTGAATTTCCGTCTAAATCTTGATTTTAGTGAACATCATTCGTGCGTTTCGGAGCATCATCACTTCTTTCCCATGTTGAGAAAGCGGTTGAAAAAAGAATATGATGCTATATTGCACGATATATTCGGCAAATTAAATTCTTATAAGTGATAATCAACACTGCTTTTATTAGTAAAATTTTGATTAAGTACCTACGGAGCAAACATTATTTCTAGTTTATCCTGCATAATGACGACCACGAAGACGCTTGACAAGCTTGATGAACTAAAACAGTGCAGGTATACAGGCGGGCACCTTTATCTGGGAAATAACGTCATAAAGGCGCCCATAATTGACGAACTTTTCCGGTGAAGGACATTACTCAAAAGTGGTCTATTATCATGATTATACTACATCTTCTTAATTTTATATATACAGTGGGATATCCAGTGAACGAATACAAAAGAAAATTCACTCTTCTTATAATAGAGTCGAGAAAGTCAATAATAAAACAATACCGGTGACGATAATGATCAAAAGTTATTTCTAAATAATATTGGTACACTTTAAAGAAAATTTTTTTGAAACTGTGTTATTGAAACATACATGCAAATACACGATGTTTTATGTGCAGTATTTAAAAATATATACATACAAAATCGAATTTTCTGAGCGTTCCAAAAAGTCCTTAGCATGTTACAATTTTGTATGCTTATTTTTTAACATCTAAGTTATCGAGCACACCGGTCTGCTCTTGTTACATGCACATTCAATAGAGACCTATTGTTTTTCGTGAATATAAACATTTTAAAGTCTGTCTGTGCAGGTAAAACAAATTTATTTAAAGATAACTTTTTTTATAAAGTAGGTATCTTTCTTCTATTTTGCATACAATTTTAAGAAAAGGTCGTCTCATGTTTTGTACAAGTATTTGCGGTCTTCTCGATCTATTCACATTCAATGTTTACATCGAGATAAGGTCTGTTTGATCTTGCTTAGTACCTTAATTTATAAAGTGCCAATCTTTGCTGCATATCAATCGATTCCTTTGAAACTTTTGCGCTGATCTAGCTGTATATATAAACGAATAATTAGCATGTTCCAGAGAGGTATACAGACAGTAAAAAATAAATCGAAGTTGGTACCCCAGGAATTTGTTCGCATAGCAAATTTTTAAACCAATTTTACTCAAAGCATCTATAGCCTGCTGTACTCGTCGTTTGCTACTTAAGGAGGAAAAATAATAACATTGAGTCGAAGTTTTGTTTTTTATTTCAATTTATTTCTACCTTTACTATTTACCAGAACGTTTTCCGTGAATCCATAATTGATAGCGTCCTTCAAAAAAAATTGCGAAGATCTAGTTTTCAGTGTTTACAGGGGAGGTAATATTTTGTCACTTGATTTCCCACTGTATCGATTGGAATCCGACTAAAGGTATCGGTGAAATTAATTTTTACTCCTTCATTTAATTTTTGTTTAATCAAATTTAATCGAAACCTTGTTTCTCGTTCGAAGAAACATTGTTACAGATAAATATACAAATGTTGATGTGGAAGCGATGATTCGCCTAACCTGTAACCGGTGATTCGCCTTACCTGTAAGTACTAATATAATAAATTTAAAACTCGTGTCATCCCTGTAGATTGTAGATGGCGAAGTGCACTGATGATGCATCTGATTACCCATATCATTGTTATTAATTTTTCTGAAGGACTCGAAATCGTATAACATTGAATAAAAATAAAAATAGAAAACAGAAGGATAAAATTTTGTACAACATTTTTGTTATTTCTCTGAAATGCATATATATACGTTGTGGTATATCATTGATTTTTTTTTAATTTTATATATTTTTCTTAATGTTTGTTTAAAAAATTCTTCATTATCTATCTTTTAATTCATCATATTTAAATTACATAGACAATATACCCATTAAAGAACAGCTGACATTGATGGTTACTCATGTTACCATTCCTATCAAAATGAAAGGCTAAGAGAATAAATGAGACATCAACACTTTAAAAAAATGACGGTCTATTTAACATAATCAGTGTATATAAAGTGCGAATCCAGATAGTTCATTTTCACTGTCATATGCGAGTATTACTATAATGTAGAATAAATGATAATGAGGAGAAAAATGTGTTTATTTTCGTTTTGAAAATACAACATTATTGATTTGAATGTATTTTTTAATGCAATTTCATTAGAATATGACTTTACAATGTACAACAACATGACTAAAGTTCAAAAAAATGTTATTAAAGGAACACGATCTAGAATGAATTTACTGAAAGCGATTCATTTTGACATTTGGTGTGATGCATTATCACTGTTAGTGCGATCATTACTGATGTGGAATTGTTAAAGGTTTGATGGATTTTCTTGGTTGTGATTTTGTGTGATAATTGGACATGCAAAAACTGACAATATTCATTTGATGAATTAGATATAATTGATGATATTTACAATCTAAAAATCCAATTTTATCATACATGTTTAACCACCATACAGTTGATTGCGGCCGTTTTTACGCGATAAAGAACAAGCTGAGAGAAGCCGATATTTGATATCAAAAATGATCTGAGTTATATACACAGTTTGTATACAAACATATATTATACACGCTGTATGCATGTTAAGTCATCTATATTAATTAAAGAATTCCAATTTCAACTCGAACTGTACTTACTGAATGATAAACACACGCGTGTTTCATAACTTGTTCACAAAAACTCGCTTAAAAATGCTTCAAAAATTAAAGTCATAAGTTGTAGACATGATAAACATGTGCGATTTGAATTGACAAGACATATATCCTCTATGAGGAAACCACAGAAATAGTATAGGTACGTACTATATTACAAATTATGATTATTAATACATTATTCTGTCGTGTACATCGAATTAATGCAGAGTTGAAAAACAAAAACACAAGCAAACTTTCAAATAAGCATTCTTTTTGTGTACGTATTAATAAAATGAAACCATTCTACGTACGTCACTTGTAAACAGTAGACTTTAAAGCGTATTGATCTAAATCTATTTTGGTTACCATAAACTTGTTGATACCTAAGTAATACCTTTCCTCAATATATATACAGTTGTCTGACACAACGGTATTATAAAGTAAGAAAAGAATAAGGCGATAAAATGCAAATAATACTATCTATTTTATGCTCTGAAGCGCTTTTCTTGAATTTACCTTCATCAGGAACGCTCAAAGCCAAAAAACTGAAAGCTGGATGGATAAATACGGAACCACACTAATCTAATGAAGAACTATACAACAAATGGACCAACAGATAATAGACAAATCCGTCTCAGGTCAAAATTGTCTGAAGGAGTTGGAACTTGAGTTTCAAAAAGGAATCATTTGGTAAAGGGGGCTAACATATAAATTAAGATCTAACCTCTCTGTAGAATTGTCAATACAATTAGAATTTGCTGTGTTCTAAATGTTATAAAACATGTGTACTCTATTGCTGTTTTTAATAGAACTATCAGAAGCTGTTCAAGATTATCTATTTTTGACTTTGGGTGTTCCTGTTGCTGGTGAGTCTTGATGTTCGATTCGGACACAGGAAATTTCACAGTGTTGTTTCCATTTTATTCACTCTTGTATTTAAATGTTACTTAGTATGTTCTTTGTGGCATGCTCTATCAACTACGAAAACTGTTTCATCAGCGTCTTTGTCAATGTACTATCAGTTAGGTTTATTTGTATATTTGTTTGAATTGTTTAGTCAGTTGTGTTGCATATCTTTTATATAATTATGTTTACACCGTTTTGACTGCTGGATCCCTATTATTGTCACATCGACCTATAATGTT